CCGAAAGGGTAGATTCCTTCCCCATTTTACCATATTTTATGAAGTGTAATGTTTATGGGAAATACTTCTATAATGTAACATGATAGAGAAAATAATTCCTACTAACTCATTGTGTTAATATTTCTTTTGTTTTTTAATTTTTTTTTATGGTGGGCCCCACCAAAAACATTTTGTGCAGAAAATAATTTACCAATCCTATTACATGACATATCATTCCCCAATGTTTATATCAGTGTTTAAAAAATCGGTTCGGACCAACCGGGTCGACTCGGGTCTCGGTGACCCGGTGAGTTCCTCGGTCCGAGCGGTCATTTAAACCTGTTTTGCAATTAACTCGGTTTGAACCAGTTGACCCGGCCTAGACTCGGCAACCCGAGTTAGACCAGTTGACCCACTTTTTTTTTGTAAAACTTTTTTTTTGGTTGCTGAAAATTCTTGAATTAAATCATGCTCATATTTTGTGATAAATATAATTAAAAAGTAAGGTGAAAATAAGAAGATATTTTGGATTAGTGCAATTCGTTTATGTAATTTAGTTGCATCTTATAATGATCTCAACAAGTTAAGTTGGGAGAAACACTGATGGTCTTATTTCAACGGTGTACACTTTCTCCTTAGTGTATATTTCATGCTTATCATTTGTTATCGTGATTTAGTTTATCTGTATTATGTCAAAGCACTAAAATTGCATTTAGCTTACATTGCAATTTTAATCTAATGTTAGGATATGGTTTAGAGTTAGAATCTATATAATATTTACTATTATTGAGAACCAATTCATTTTTTAAAATTCATTGATAGTTTTCTTATGTAAATTTTTAATATAAGTAATATGTTCATTTTTTTTAATATGTAAACAATATATCCAGTTGAACCCGTGACCCAATACCTCAATCGAGTCGATGACCGATCTGAGTTTTAAAACTGTAGTTTATATAACTTCTATAATCATTATTGAGCACGATTAATTGCACAAACTGTTATAGGCAAATGTAAATGTAATAATATTTTTTTGGTGGAGAATAATTTTTTTTTACTATGCAATGAAGTACATTTTATGTTTTTAATATACTAAATATTTTAAATTTTTTTCATTGAATACTTATTTTATTAAGTAATAATAAATTTAAAACACTATTTTAGGAAGATATAATTGCACAGGGAAATATTCTCGTGTAATTAAAAATATTTTTATTGTAATTGAATCATAAATTATCACATCGTTAAAAGATTGTAACTTTTGGAATAATTATTGTGAGAATGAATTTTTTCAAATAACGTGACATGTTTCAATGACAATATGAAAAATCTTTTTAGGCTAGTAGTGCATCTCAATTGAATCGATATTTAAATAATCTAAATAGAATAATGATTTAACTTTCTCAACTTGAAGATAAGCTGCAGCCTGCAGGTTTTAATGTATGAAATAAAAAACAACTATAATATAAAATCTTTTAATGTTGGGCCAGTCACATGGGCCTAGGTTATGTACTTATGTCCACTAAAACTTTGGAATGGTTTGATCATATGACACTTTCAATGTTTCTGTATTTGGGCATAAACAATGGGAAAAATGTATATAATATTATTTTAGAAAATTTTGTTTAACTATGTATTTATGATTTTCATCCCAAAAAAAATGTTATTTTGGTGAAGATTAGACAAAGTTATCTAAAGTGATTTTAGAAAAAACAAACCCATAAACAATTTGAGTTTATTATTTTTAATTTATCTCTTACACACACATAAAAGTATATGTGGTATATAATTTCTTTCTTTTTCTTTTTTCTTCACCCATATGGGGGGTCCCACATGCTTTTATGTTTGTGTAAAAAATAAATACCTATAGTATAAGAGACACTAAACCCAAATAATTTAACCCAATTTTGGATGTGGAAGCAAACTGGCCTATACACGGTTAAGGTTCGCACCCTTTCCCCAGCTTTTTTTACTTAAATAAGGGCTTTTTTGGAAGTTAATTGCTAGTATTTTAAAAATTATTGTACCAAAAAAAAAAATTATCTATCACTTTGGGGTGGTTTTTATCTCGTCGCAAATCACTGTCATACCACTGTCAGTTTTTTTTCACGTCATTAAAAATGTGGACTTGTGCCGTTATTAAAATAAAATCAATGACTTATATCACGGTCACTCTTATATTCCAAATATTATGTCTCATGGTCATGGAAATAGAAATAAAATAAAAAATAAAGTTGTGTCACAAAACAGCACTGTGTTGTTCGAGTTCGCGTGGCGCTTCTCAAAGTGATATTGATATGTATTCCAAAAAAAGAAATGATATTGATATTAGTATCCAAAAAAAGTGATATTGGTATCGTCACGTATCACACCTTAATATAGCATTAACTCGTTATAATTTAATATATATAATATTAACACAACAATATGTGAATAATATTTTACTATTAATTATTATTTGTTTATATTATTTGTGTTAATGTCAAATGTACGTATTGGTATTAAATTATATGTAGGTTAGTTCTATGTTGAGGCATGCCACTTGACAGCATAACGTTGAGCGGGTCCTATAGACTTGTATCACTTGAATGTGGTATTATTAGCTATGTAAATAGATTAGGTCGGTCTACATGCACCTATGACCTAATCTATATTAGTTTAGACTTGACCTATTACAAATAGTAAAATAGAACATGCCTAGACTTTTAAAAAATCTTATTTAAAAAATAGATCATAGATTTTTTTGTACATGGCAGGCACATAAGCCTACAGGCCGACTTATATAATATTATTTATTTTAAATAAAATAAATGAAATTATTATTTTAATAATTTTGAATAATAAAATATTATTATGTTAGTTATTTTTTTAATTGTTGAATGTTTAATAGTCTAACAGGCTTAGGCTAAGACTTTTATTTTTTAAATATAGGTCAGACTAGACTTGTAATTTAGTGTCTATAAGGTTAACAAGTCAGGTCAGACTCAATATTTTTTACACAAACATAACTTATTTAAGCTAAAACCTAGCCTAGTTTAACCGATTTAGACCTCTAGAAATTATCACGTGAGACAGTTCTCCAATTTTTATTTTTATTTCTGATTTTGATGAAATATATCTGAACGATCACGTGAAATTGCGTTTTTTGGGACCCGGAACAAAAAATGAAACTATTTTGACACATGCTAAACATCATCCCAAAGTGTTAAGTAATTTTTCATGCAAACCGATTTGGCAAATAGATTAAAAAGAAATACTATTGTTTGATAAAAAGCCCCCCTCCTCCGAAAATAAATAAATAAAATAAACTGATAGGTTACTTACCACCTTACTAATATATATATATTTTTTTTTTTTATAACAACCACCTTACTAATATATTAACCGCAAATAAGATACGAATGTATATTAAATGCCTTAAAAGAAACATTATTCTAAGTAGTTGCTGTGGACAAACAATAGATCATGGATCTTGCCACTTATAACTGATTCTCAAAAATGTTATTTTAATAGTAATGCAAGTAGGACCTGAACTGAACACGCTGCCCTTTTCTTCACAAATTATTTAGTTAAAGCCCTCTTACATAATTTGTGCGAGATATTGTGCAATTTTTAATAAGAGCACCAATGGAGGGCCTTAAAGGTTGCTTTAATAATTAGCCTTTGTCAAAAATTGAACACAGTCATCACGAAGTACACGAAGTTTCAAAATCTTTCAAGTGAATAAAGATAATATATTTTTTTCCGCGTACAAGTAATCTCCACCAGCACTGATACTTATATTCTATAAGGTCCAAGGCAAATAAATTACACATAAAACCAAAGGGTACGACTACTGTTAACATTAATTTATTGTTTTCTGATTATTATAATAGCGTCCACCTAACCATTATCTGAATCACATGGACACAAATTTCGATATGCTTTGCTGACTTGGACTGCTTCCCATTGTTTAGTCGTGGCGAATAATTTTATATTATGAATATTTAAATTGTACCATTAAGCAGTTAGTTGGATTGTTATGATTATCATAATGAACATTAATATAATATCTGATGCTCTAATAGTCCCCATTAGACACTAACATCAACTTTTACTGGGACGGGACTTCATTATCCATTCAATCGTCATCAATATTATTGTTGTAAATAACAAATAACAACTATCCTATTATTCAGGAGACACAAAACGCCAAAAAGAAAGTTAAAAGAGTATATAATATGCACAAGAAATTTGTGAGCTACCTAATAATAATTATTTTCGAGAAAAATGAGGGAACTTTGTATAAGTATCTACAAAATAATAATGAAACTCCAATAAATTCAATTTATTACCTAAATATCAAATCATATAAATCCTGCATAGATAATAAGCGACCACGTGATCAAAAGTCTCAACTTGGTTTCTAAAGTCCTTTACATTTAATTTTTAAGGATTTTAGGTCAAATTCTATCATAACCCACTTTCTTCTCTATGTGTATCAATGAAAAAGATGTATAGCTTGAAATCTAAAAGATTACGTAGATCAAAACTATCTAAGACAAAAAAAAATTATTGTATCAAAAAGGGTTAACAAAATAAAAATAAAGTACTAAAAATAATTATTGTAACTTTCTCTACGTTCTTTTCAGCTCACCTTATTATATCTTTCGGACATGGCTTTGCCAAGTTTGCAAGTTTCCAATTTTCAATTTAATTCACCTGCCTCACATCGTTTTCATTGTAATAAAGAATGAAGTAAACTACAAGTGTTCCCTTTTTTTCTTGTTTCTCCCTCTCTCTTTTCCCCCCCCTTTCCCTTTATTCACTATAAGTTACAAATTAATTTAGACATGAATCATGAATTGAAATATCTTTAGCACATAGTTGGAAAAAGAGGAAATCTCAATCCACAATCTCTACCGGGGGGCAACTAACATTTGAAAAATATGATGGCTAAGGCCAATTGACTGCGTTTGATATGAGAGCAATGTGTTGTTTGATACGCAGATAAACAAAGCAGTAATTTGTTTTGCCATTCCAAAAGAATAGTAGGATTCCAATAATTCCATCGTAAGTAGTAGCAAATAAGTGGTTAAAATCTAAAAGCCATCCCAAACAATGGTTGCCTAAAATGAAAGTACAAACTGTGTATATTCATTACTATAGAAGATCCTAATAAGATATGTCTGATTCTGGTTCGATTAAGTACTTTCAAGGGGCCTTCAGGAAATAGGAAGAGCTACAATTCAAATTTCAACATTTCTGCTTGCAAGAGGAGCCAAAGAAAAAAGAAAAAGAAGAAGCAATACAAGCAGAACATAAGCATTGTATTGCACGTCTAATCTGTTGATGGAGACGTGTTGGTTGATGCAGCTAGCTCATTCTCCTGCCGTTTCTTCAAATACCTTTGAGCAGTTGCATTCACTATCTTGACAAAGAAGTTTATAAGCATAAGCCACACAACAGTGTTCCACACTGAAGCAAATGAGAAATCCCATTTTTTCCTCTGAAGATAATAGATGAAGTAATTTTAGAAAAAGAAAGAGAGCAAATATTAGAACAAGACTCTGAGGCTGTTATTCAATATGAGCAATTCAACATTAAAATCAAATAAGAAACATCACGTTACATTGGAGTTAATGGTTACCTGGATATTTGGGGATACTGGATCGGGTGCTTTCAGATACTTATCTTTAGCTGCATGGAGAGTTTCAATCACACTGGGCAAGATAGAAGCAAAACCAGGTATATGGCTGAGAACCCAGACAAATTCATTCTCTATCCAATTAAGAAGCTGATTATTGCAAACTGAGATGATAAATACCGTCTGCACAAAGTACATTGTATAGAGTGTATCAAGTGAGAGTGTGAGAACAGCTAATCTTGACTATTTAATCTTACACATTAGATAATCTTGACTATTTCTTTTCAATTCTTCCACATCCCCTTTTTATCTCTATGCTAAATTTAATATTTTAACATTCTTTTATATAAACATTCACGGGAGACCAACTTCGGGGTTCCGTATATGGTAGTGTGACTCCACAAGGACAAATCACTAGTTGCCTTCCCTCCCTCTTCTTTCCACAAGGTCATGTAAAAAATGCCAATGCTTAAATGCTTTAACATTTTATTGTAGTTAGCAAGCTAAGTCTAAAGCAAAGGAAAGGCTTCAAAAAGGCCAAATGAGTACGTAACGGAAGAAGATGAATCCAAACTTATACAAACCTGTATGTGAGTTTTAATAATTGCCTTTCCAATCAAAGTTGCAAGAAAGAATTTCCAAAATGGAATCCCAAATTGTCCACACATAATACCAGCAAGGTCAAATAGAGGATTTGGCACCTGAAATATCCATTCAGTTAATGGCAGGTTGAATGTTCATGAAGCATATATAACAAATGCTATTGTTTTAGTTAATAATAAATGCTATTTAGTAATGGTGCACCTCGAACTAAGGAATCACCACTTTATTTTCTCAATCACAATTTTTATATTGAATATAAAAACACTGGCATAATAAAAAGAAAAAGAAAAAGAAAAAGAAACTACAGCACCCTGATGAATAATAATTTGGATATTACTCATTAAATTTCTTTTACAGCCGTGGATTAAGAAAGCATCAAACATAATCAGCATAAGATACAGTATTGACAACTATAATCCGCAGAACCAAAATAGAGAAAACATAACAGTAAAATAGTACAAATTGAGTAAACATTTTCAATAATTAGAATACGTTATCCTGTCAAGCTTATCCCTCTGAAAGAAAGGTCAAAAGAAAATCCCACTTGTATATGCCTAAAAGTGACAGTCATTGTCAACCCAATGGAAGTGACAAATGACAATCACTATTGTGTGGAACCTCCATTCTCCGAATAATCTCAAAAGCAAAAATAAAATCATTGATGTGATTGGATGACAAATTTGGGACCAAAAAGTAATTGTACAGAAGAATGAGCTGTTTCAAGGTGGAGTCAGGACTAACAACCCAACTCAGAATGTTGCTAAAAGAGAAAGATCTATTATATTATAAACATCATAGAAATACATCAGGAACTTTATTTACAAAAGAAACTGTCAATTCTATTTAATGAAGAAACAAAGGTCATGCTATTAATGAAGAAAGTCGATACTAACCGAAGCAAGTGCCATAATGCTAAGAAAATTCAAATGTTGAGAGTGTGATAGAAACCAACGCTTGATTCGATTCAAGTGGGTTGCCATGATTCCTTTATCTTCAGTATCCAACTCTTCAATTGCATCAAATTTGCTCCCAGACAAGCGTGCTACATGAATAATTTGATTAGAATCATGTGCAACCAATTCCTAAAGTAAGTACCTAATAAAGCACCAAACTACTGAAAAATAAATTAATTTATCATCCTAAATCAGACAAAATAGACCTCAGAAAGTTCAAGAAGAAATAGATAGACATCACAAAGTACCATCAAAATGGAATTATTGAAAACTAAAAAAAACTATAAAATTTTACCATGCAACGGCATACAGCCAAACATTTTCTTTACCAAATATGGTGCAAGAACATTTATATTGCAATAAAGAAAGTCATATGCTATATCAATCAAGCAGGGAGGAGGCAGAACGATAAGCATCTTGGGATGCACCACCCCAAAAGTTAGCTCAAAGGGTGGGAGTGCTCAAGGCTTTATAAAGCCCACATTAGTTGCCCATACAACCAATGTGGAATTTCAAGTCCCATACATTGCAAATGGAATCGTAACATTCCACCACGCTCCGCAGCCCACACGGGCTAGCTTTGTGCTAGTCTTTTACTAGCCTAGGGCGAACACTGCAACGCCGATGTCACCACCCGCACCGCTCGATTGTAATTAGGAGACATAGTGGAAGGCTCTAATACCATTTGACAAGAATCTTGGGATGCACCACCCCAAAAACTAGCTCAAAGGATGGGGGTGCCCAAGGTCTTATAAATACAACCAATGTGGGACTCCAAGTCCCATACATTGCAAATGGGCCCATACAACCAATTTGGAATGTTAGGACCCATTTGCAAGGTATGGGACTTGGAGTCCCACATTGGTTGTATAGGCAACTAATATGGGGTTTATAAGGTCTTGGATACTCCCACCCTTTGAGCTAGCTTTTGGAGTGGTACATCCCAAGGTTCTTATCAAATGATATCAGCACCCATTATGTTTCACACATTTGAACTTGGAACTGGAACACGGGGGTTGGATCCTTGGACTTGGAACCTCGGGCTTGGGCTGCGAAGCATGGTGGGATGTTATGACCCTTTTGCAAGGTATGGGACTTGGAGTCCCACATTGGTTGTATGGGCAACTAATGTAGGGTTTATAAGGCCTTGAGTACTCTCACCCTTTAAGCTAGCTTTTGGGGTGATGCATTCCAAGGTTCTTATTACAGACACAGATGGATTTCAAATATGGGATCATGGCTGATATGCATAAAGCCATTAACTAAAGGAGATAAGGGTGTAATTGTGTAAATATGACTACTCACGCATACAATAACTTTCAAACATTAGGATGAATAATATCCCATGGGCTTAAAAAATAAGATGAATATTTGAAGTTTATTATATCTCCATAAGTATATACTTGGATTGGGCAAATAATGGGAACTAAAAAGATTCAGAAGCAAAGGTTGAGCTTTACTTCAGAATAACTTCAATAGCAGCTAATATATAACAGTCTTGGAATAACAAATTCTTATAGCTTAAAAAACAAAAAAGGCTTTTAAGAAGGACTCAACAAAATCACAGAAGTTTTAGAGCTTCACACCATCCTAGTAATAAGGTATAAATACAAGCTAGACGTAAATAGAATATATGCATGGTAAGCATATCTTTCTGAACAGTAGTCAGAAGTAAAGTCAGATTTTTATATCAATTTAACAGTAACTTGGTTAAATTAAGAGGATCAGTCGTCATACAAAATACTAATTATACCTGCCCTGGAGATAAAGTAAGGAGGAAGCTCCCCAATAGCGGTTCCCATACCCCATAGAACAGCCTCCATCTGAACTTGAGCCAAAATGCTGCTAAGTGGAACCTGTGAACCATGTACTGACTGGAACATTGGCGGCCCAAATTCCGAACAGTCTTTATCAAGCCAAGAAGGACCTCTATCTAACTGTATTGTATCATATGGAGCAATCTTCAAATCAACTCGGCCACATTGCATGGCTTTTATTGTAAAGAAAGCTATGTGGGGACCCAAGTATAGAACAAAAGTATGCAAACCAGATCCTGAACCAAAGAAAATGACAAGGGAAAATTTTATCAAAAAGAAAATGGAAAAAGAAAAAAGTACAAGCCATATGATCACGTTGTTGGGATTGTTATTGCTTACAATTATGAAGCCTATGTATTGTAAGCAAATAATTTTCTGCAAGTCCAAATCACACAAGTAGCCTAAAGACCAACTGTATTACTAACTAACCAGGAAAAACATAATCAGGAACCCTCATCTAGATATGAGGATACATCACCTTCATGCATGCCTGTTTTACTTACCAAGACCAATTGAAGACGCAACCCCAAGGGCTACCCACCACAGTCCAAAGCGGAAATATTTAAGAAGCTCCTCAAGATGCTGCAAAAATAAAAAATAAAGAAAATGCATTTTTAATGTCTTACGAGTATAATAACTCAAAATAATCATAGATGTGTAGCCCTTAGGGTATTAATCAGTTGGGGGGTTAATTATTGTTAAGATTCAAGAGACAAAAGAAAATTGATCCTACATTAGTTCCCATTGTCAGATTAATTAATGAACTTCCATTTTAATTAGCATAATCTTCAAATAATAATATCAACATGAAAACTTAAGCTAGTTATAAGTTTTTTACAGCTTATTGCAGATTTGAGGTTTGGATCGCTAGGTTCACATTTCTAATGGTACTCACGTATAATAGGCAAAAAGACCCAGAAATATATTATTTCCCATGGAACTTTTTGTGATTTAGAACTATCATTCACAAGTTACTGACAGAATAAATGAAAATACCTTTTCATGAGGACCATCCAGGGTAATCAACATTATGCCAAGAGCCCCTACCACAAAACTGAAAAGCATAAGCCATCCACCTTTTGCCAACAGATATAATGCTGCTTTCTTCATGTATTGAGTAACAGCTAATGTGAAGAATTTTAGTGTTTTGAAGGGTTGTGTGGTTAGCGTCAAATTTTCTAGCTCCGTTTGGTGCTTCTTGTGAAGCCCTGCAAAACAGAAAATTTCTAATCAGCATATGGGATACAATAGAAGCTCAGAATTTAGACAGTGGTTTTATGTAAATTTTTCTAATCACGAGTTTGGAAGAGTACGAATGTCTCTTTTAATTTAACCTTCTCTTCAACACTCTCTTCCCATTACCAAATTTTTTTACTTTTAGAAACCCTTTTGACTTGCAAGAACCACTTTTGCTACAGTCAAAATCCCTCCCAAATCTCTTCTAATAGAATTCTCTTATACACTAATTGTTTTCCTTCTTATAGCTGCCACCATTTAATCATTGGATTTATAGCTTAATGTTTCTCCCTTTCCTCTACTTAGCATGTGTGTCCAGAACCAAAATCTATACTGGGTGGTTAAGCTCTCTACTGTTATGTGTTATGACTTTGCAAATCAATGTGTCTATTTTCCATATCAAAAAGAAATCTACTTGTGAGCTTGAAACTCTATTTTGTAAACAATAAGATACTCCTCCCGCTTATTAAAACAAGGGTTTACCATCATTAAATCATATACCATCACAAAGTCAATGTAATAGATTCCTCTAATCATTTGATTTTTCAGGACCATATCTACCATGAAACCTTGTGTACTCCCTTGTTTTTCTTCCAACATCCATTTGGACCTCCTAAAAATCCACGTAGACAAATATAAACTCCATGGTTTAACCAAGCAATAACTTTAATTAGGAATGACAATTTGGGTTGACATGACACGAATTTAACACAATCACAATATGAATTTGAAACGGGTCAAGACCTTCGACACGAACACAACTTACTTATTTTGAGCGTTGACAGAACACATGATATGAATAACCCACCAACCTCAAAGTGTGTTGCTTATTATGCAAATTGACACGACATAACACGAATAATCTGTCAACCTTGAAATGTTTCGCTTATTACACAAGATGACATGACACGATAAGACACGAATAGCCTGTATACTAAATGTTGCTTTCATCAATGTAATGTTGGCACGACACGACACAAATATCTTTTAAGAAAATTAATGCGGGTCAGGTTGACACACAATATAACACCAATTTTTTATTTCAGTTTTTGCCAACACGAACACAACACAAATTTGAAAACGGATTGACTTGAGCACAAATTTCTTGTGTCGTGTCAGAATGTCACATTGAAAATTGTCGCCTCTAATTTTAATTATAAGGCCATAACATTTCCTATCAATAATTTAAGCAATAAAAGAAGGAAAATCTAACATAAGGTGTAAGGCTGTAACATTTTCTACCATAATCATGCAATCTTAGAACACCAAAATCTCCTCAGCATGACACCTCCCTCTCCGCCACCCACCCTAACATCCACTTTTAGTGATTAAACAGATTAACAAATTCTATAACCCTAAATGTGGAATTCATCCACAGAGGAACTATTATGATGAAGGCTATAACAGTTGTGGATCTCAGTATATTTTTGGGGGATCCATGGCCACCCCCGGAATTTTAAAAAGAGCATGTAATCACTCAAGCATTAGTAAAACACTATATGACCACCCCAAAAATTCTTAGTTAAGATCAGCTATTGGGATTTAGAACTCCCAGACTTTCATACTACAGATCAGCCATTGGATCCTCTCATGTCTCTTTCACATGACCACCTCATATGATAAATTTCAGTTATTCATTGACAGATAATTAATAACCAACAATTAAAATGACAATTTTCAATTTTTTGTTTTACAAATTGTCATTAAAATTAAAACTATTGATCGGTCAATGAATGACTGAGATTTAACACATGACATGTCATGTTAAAGAAAGAAAGACATCACCTGTCCGAACGAATGTGGATGCCTAGATGCCAGCTGAAAAACCCTCCCTCCCATCTCCAACCCAAGAAAAAACAAGGAAGCCATCGCATAGATGGTTATCAAATGCCAGTCTTTTGTTGCCCATAACAGTTAGTTGGTAAACTCAACGCAAGATTAATGACCCTTCTTCACTTACCACTCCCCCATTTTAGAACACAAGCGCTTTAAAAATCATCCTCCATCACATAACAGAGACCCTCCCGTGACAATTCATGATCACATACATTCCCCAGCAGCACCGTCGAAGAAAACAAGTTTTTAGCCCATCCAAATTATCGAGAACCCGAGGCACCCAAAAAAGTTATGCTTTCCAAGAACTGTGGAAAACTGGAATCTTCAAAACCCTCTTCCACCAGTATCACCATTTAATTTGGCAAAAACTTTCCCTGTCATTCTAGTCCCGACCCAAACTATGATCAAAACATAAACAATTTCACAGATCCCAAAAACCAAGGCCTGAGATTTCACAGCAAAAAATTCAAACCCCAATACTATTCTGACATCAAAATCCTACCCCAACCGAGAACAACTGAAACTAACTAAAATATAACACGGTAATGAATATTAAATCATGACTATACTTTCAAGCAGAGAATCAAAATCCAACTGATAGGATAATAAAACAAAGAAATCAAATCAAATAACATGCCTGAGGTAGACATGTTAGTGCTTCCAGAAGAAGCTGCTGTTTCTACAGACCCCATTGTTGCTCACGCTTTAAAAATTGAATCTTTACTTTTGGGGAAGCAATATCTTCTCTCTTTCTCCCTCTAATTTTCCGGGTTGCCCCTTGCATCTACGGAATTCGGCTACAACACAAGTGAGTCAGAAATGGCCATGGATAAAAAATTTCCCTCGAATTTAACTACCCAAAAATAAAAACAAAAAATTGGGAGTTTCGATTGAAATGGTTTCAGTGAAATTTGCAGATCAAACAGAGCAAAATCGGAGCTTTGCTTCGAAGATTGGGCGCGGTGAATATTGGTTGCGCTCACTGTTTATCTCCTGCTACACTACAACAAAATATTAGAAAGAATTCTTCGGCGTGTTTGTCATTTCCTTTTTCTCTAACTCTTTTTATAATTTAATTGAGAAAAGTGTTTATCATTTAAAATGACACAATTTATATCTTTTCACCTTCACAAAGAGATGAGACTCGCATCTTTATTTTTTTGTCAACTCTCTCTCTCCTTCTTTATCTATCTTTTTCTCTTTTAAGATGACACAACTTTACATCCTTTAAAATGATATGACTTTTACCCAATTTAATTTTGATAATGTTACAAATGATTGGATAGTGATAAAATAACAAACCAAAATTATACTCTTTCTATTTTTATTTTTTTATATAAAATTATACTCTTTCTTAAGACGTTTAAGTACTACTATGCTCAATATGATTAAACCTTATTAACTTCTTAATTAAGAAAGACGGATCGTATTTCATTAAAAATTAAATTTTAAATAAAAAATAAAAAATTGATATTTCTCGTATTATAAATATATATAAAAAGGGATATGTTATTCTACTTATTATTTTTTCTGGCTATCTTTGTCTATAACTCTTCAATACCGTTAGATCATAATCTCAAGAAGAGAGAGAAAAATAAATGTTAGTTAAGATTATAATCTAACGGTGTTGGAGAGTGATAGGCAGAATAACTTATCCCATATAAAAATATGTGAAGTCCATGTGAGGTGCTGTAAATAGAAGAGAAAAAAAAAGAGTCATACATACTTTTATATGTATACAGAAGATAATTTTATTTCCTACATATGAGAGACATTAAATCCAAAAAATTATTTATCCTATTATTTTAACAGAATAATATTCATGCAGTTACTGCAGATAAGTTATCTGCATTTATTCCCAAAACGACGTCGTTTTGGGATTGAAAAACTAAATAATTATAAGGGTTCACTTTTTTGCAGTTACTGCAGATAAGTTATCTGTAGTAAATCTAATACGACGTTGTTTTAAGGAAAAAATTATGGTATTTTTGTAATTTTAATTTATTTCAGGGTTATTATAGTATTTATAATTATAATTTTTTAATCTTTCAATCCAAAAACGACGTCGTTTTGAAAGTAGATGCAGATAACTTATCTGCATTAACTGCAGAAATAATTTTCTATAATTATAATTATAAAGACTATCATAACCCTGAAATAAATTAAAATTATAAAAACACCATGATTTCCGCCCTAAAACGACGTCGTATTAGGCTTACTGCAGATAACTTATATGCAGTAACTGCAGAAAATGCGAATTACTGCAGATAAATTATCTGCATTTATTCCCAAAACGACGTCGTGTTAGGATTGAAAAACTATGGGGCTGTTTGGTAGGGGGCAAAAAAAAATTAGCCAGGAAAATAGGATAGGAAAAATAATAGGCAATGTTTGTAGGAGTATGGGTGTAAATAGGCTATGTTAGACTAAGCTTTGACTTAAATAGGCAAGTCTGTGTAAAAAACATTTGGTCTGATCTGACCTGTTAGCCTGTGTAGGCTCCAAATTACAAGTTTGGCCTGACCTATATTTAAAAGATAAAAGTCTTGGCCTAGGCCTGTTTAAGCCTATTATACATTCAACAATTAAAAGAATAACTAAAATAATATAATTTTATTATTCAAATTTATTAAAATAAAAAAATTTATTTTAATTATTTTATTTAACATAAATAATATGATATACGCCGACCTGTAGGCTTATAGGCCCGATATGTATAAAAAAGCCTATGACCTATTTTATAAATAGATTTTCTTAAAAGCCTAAGCCTGTTCTATTTTACTAATTGTAACAGGCTAAGTCTAGCCTAATATAGGCTAGGCCGTAGACCTCTGTAGGTCGGCCTACCCATTTACACCCCTAGGTAGGAGGATTAAAAAAAAGGTGTATGGGAAAAAAAGGTGTCCGTGTTTTCATTTTGTTCATGAGTTGGTTCAAAAATTTTGCAATCTTAAAGGTGGTTACCTTTTTTTCTTTGTCAGTGACAAATTCTTAACACTTTGTTGTGACTAAAATGCCCTTGCATTAAAGTGCATTTATCAAACCTCAATTGGTAAACCATTGTTTAGGTGTGGAAAAAGGTAATTTCAGTAAATATTTCCATCTTTTTTTTACACTATCAACCAAACATACCTTACTAAAATTAATCCAAGTTTTCCTGCAAAATTTTGAACTACTAAACACCTTTTCGTTACTTACTCGGCAACAAAAGTTTCTCATCATATTCTCATGCAATTTTTCTTCCTGGTCAAAAAAAAATTTCTCGTACCAAACGCTCCTTAAATAATTATAATTATAAAGACTATAATAACCTAAAAATAAATTAAAATTATAAAAATACCATGATTTTCGCTCCAAAACGACGTCGTATTAGACTTACTGCAGATAACTTATATGCAGTAACTAAAGAAATAATTGTTGGATATTTGTTATACTCAAATTGATTTATTGATTTAAAATATATTTTGATGATTACAAACAATTTAATGTAAATTTAATTGATAATATTTTATTATCTTGAAATTATTAATGAGCTAATTGTTTGAGATTTCAGAATAATATTTATTATGATTTGAAATAGTATTTAAGATAATTGAAGATTGCATGAAGATTGGAGAAGATATGAAAGATATCATGAAGAGAAAGAAAAGCATGGGATCAAGTCTGATAGCTTCAAGGACAAAATAGTAAATTTAATAACTTGCTTGGAAGAGATTGATTGAATCTAAAGTACAAGCCCATCACCGAGTGGATCTTGAAGTCAAAGAAAAATACAGCCCAACAAAGAGAACCAATTTAAGAACAGTTGGATTCAATAGAACATGTAATCTTACTTTGATTGCCTTAGACAGTGGCGGACCCAGGAAAAAAAATTTATGTCCACACAATCAGTGCGGGGTTCGGGGGCAGCGCCCCAGAATTTTTTTTTTTATATAAAAGTTTAAATCAACGCTTGAACCCGCTCATAATCTAGTTGCTTCCATAACAAGCTGCAGACAATAGTTTGACCAATTATTTTCCCCCTAAATCTTATCAATCCTTCAAAACAAATATGAGAATATACTCCAGTACATCCATACATCATCATTCTATTTTGGGATATGTTATTTTACCTAACATTTTTCTGCCTACCTTTGCCTACCACTCTCCAATACCGTTAGATCAAAATCTCAAGAAGAGAGAAAAAGATAAATGTTAGTTAAGATTCTGATCTAACGGTGTTGGAGGGTGGTAGGTAGAGGTAGGCAAAAAAATGGTAAGTAGAATAACCTATCCCTTCTATTTTATAGTGGTGAATAAAAAAGTTAACACTACCTATACAGAAGTAAAACAAAATCACAGTGAAGGTCTCGTCTCTAGATATTAACTTATTTGAGAATGTCAGACCTACAATCAATCATCTCTTTTTATAAAAATAAAAAAGGAAACAAAGGATGAAGAGAACGTGGAAATGAGTACGTGACAAGGGAGGAAGAATAAGTTTTCTTTCTAATCAATGTGCGTTGTTGCGTTGTTTTAATCATCTTCGTACGTTGTTACGTTGCTAACTAATATAAGAATAAATATCCTTTTTGGTCCCTAAAAAAAATTTGGACCTCACTTTAGTCCATTATAAAAAAAAAATTAGTCACCTGATCCCTATGGACCCACTTTGGTCTTTCTGTGGGACTAGTGTAGGTCTTTTTTGAATTTGTGATGGACCACGATTTTAATTAAATTGATCTACTTTAAATTTTTTAAGGACCTCGAGACTAATTTTTTTTTTGTAAAGGACTAAATTGAGAATCATGTTTTTTGTTAGGGACTTAAAAAATTATTTACTCCTAATATATATATTGAATCAAGAGACAAATAACAATCTACAAAAAAAAAAAAAAAAAAAAAATTTAAAATCAAAAAGTTTATGACCGCACTTGCGGGCATTTGCCCGCAAGTCGGTCCGCCAATGGCCTTAGATATTTGAAAAGCAAGGATAAAAAATGGTTTTACAAACAAACCTCTGGATGGATTTTCTTATCTAATAAACCACTATTTTCAAATATTGTGGTTGTTTTTAAAATCTTCTAGATTCTGATTCAAAAAATAAAAAGGTTGTTTTTTTTAAATAAAGATAAAGAGATTATCTGAAAATCAGTCTTCCAGTCCTTCAGTCTTTCGTGATTATAAAAATAAAATTTCATTCCAAAGGATTACAAGCAGAGCATAAGTTATAATATTGTGGCAATCAAGGCACGATCAAGGTCTCTCTTTTAATGCTCATAGGTTTGCTATTTTACCTCTCTTCTTATTCAAGAAGCACATGGTATTTCTATTATTAAATCTTTTTGTTAGCTTAGAGTTAAGCTATTGTGCGTAAGTGATTGATTCTGTCTGAGTTGACAGAAGGTGAGTTATTGGTGAAGTCTCGTTTGGGTGGCTGAGTAGTCATTCAAATTTGGGTGTGAATTGTATAAGGGTAGTGTAGGGCTAACCTTGTATTATTGTTTTTGGCTCTTTTAGTGAAGTGCTTTTGACCAATTGGAGAGTTTATCCAGATTGGTGCCGTGGGTTTTTACTCCTCTTGAGCCAAGGAGGTTTTCCCACGTAAATTGCTGTGTGATTTTGGCATGTTTTATTTTCTATTTATTATCTTTCGAAATCTGGTTTTGTTTTTAAAAGGAGGCAAAAATTTTATAAACTCAATTCACCCTCTCTTGAGTTCATCTGGGACCAACAATAATTAACCCATATTTTAAAGGTTTAATATCTCTTATATTATAAGAGATAATTTTATAAAAAATATTAATGTTATGCCACTGCAGACAGCAATCTTATGCTGAACATTCATCGATCAACGTGCATTTTTTTTTTTAAATATAAGTCCTACCACTAAGTCTGTCTTTAAGGCATAAGATTGCTTTCTACAGCGACATAAGGTTTTTTCTCTAATTTTATTTTCTATTAAACCTTATTTAATGGTTTAATTTTTTTTCATGGTATATGAGATAATATGTCTTATGCAATACACAAAAAAGTAGATAAAA